AGCCACACCGCTCCGGCAATGGAGAGGCTCGGAGTAGGGCTCGGTCTGCTGGCCGAGCAAGGAGCAGAGAGCATCCATGCAGAGTTCAACACTCTTGAGCGAAGATACCGCCAGATTCCTGCTCTTCTGCAGAGGCTGAAAGCTATGGCTGAGCAGCATCTGTCCCGAACCTTGCCTCAAGCCATTCACCGTCCCGCGACAAAACGTCGCCAGTCGACATGGTCTCTGGCAAGTGTCGTAGTAGTAGTAGAATTTATTATTTTACTAGGGAACTCCCAACAGGCGTTGCCTTTTTACTGGGAACCCTAGGAATGACTTGGTGCTTGTGACAAATGCAGAAAGACGTGAGTAACCAACTTTATTTGCTCTCTCTAGTCTAGTCCATGGGCAGGTCTGACAGGTGGGAGCTGGCCAAAGGCATGCGGGTGTCATCCATGCGCGCCAGGTGACCTAGCCACTCTAGCCGACGATTCCGAAGCTTACAGGTGATGGTCTCCTGATCGCCCCACATACGCAATTGTTCAGCATTGCTGATGTGGGCATCCCACATCTGCTCACACACACACACACACACACACACACACACACACACACACACACACACACACACACACACACACACACACCATTGGACCATTGGACGCCCATCGCTGGAGGCGATGATAGCGATGCTACAGCAGAAGCCATAGCAGCTTGTGCTGGGATTGCACCATTCAACAGCTTGCAAGGCTGAAGAATTGACCACACACACACACACCATTGGACCATTGGACGCCCATCGCCGGAGGCGATGATAGCGATGCTACGGCAGAAGCCATAGCAGCTTGTGCTGGGATTGCACCATTCAACAGCTTGCAAGGCTGAAGAATTGACCACCACTATTCAGCCTGGTCCACACCACACAGCTATGAAGTGGCTTTTTCTGGCCAGTGAATCCCTACTTTTTGGTCTTTTTTTCATTTTTTTCCCGCACACACATCACACCACATACTCCGGCATGCACTGGCTGTTGGTAACTAACCACCCAGGAGAATGAAAGAAAAGTCAGGAGGAGTCTGAGAAAGAGAAGAAAGACGTGTGAGACCATAATCGTCGGGAATCGAACCCGCAACCTCTCGATTGGAAATCGCTGCACATACCACTGCACCATATGGGACACACACACACACACCTCAGACCTGCCCATCGCGGAAGCGATGATAGCGAACAGCTATGTTAGACATAGCAACTTGTGCTGGGATTACACCATTCAGCAGCTTGCAAGTGACACACATACACACACACACACACACGCACACACACACACCTCAGACCTCAGACCTGCCCATCGCGGAAGCGATGATAGCGAACAGCTATGTTAGACATAGCAACTTGTGCTGGAATTACCCCATTCAACAGCTTGCAAGGCTGATGAATTGACCGCCACTATTTTTAGCCTGGTGTCCACCACACAGCTGATTGAAGTGACATTTTCTGGTCAGTGAATCCCTATTTTTCATTTTTCCATTTTTCTTTTTTTTTCGTTCTTTTTTTCTTTTTCTACACACACACCACACCACATACTCCGGCATACACTGGCTGATGGTAACCACCCAGGAGAATGAAAGAAAAGTCAGGAAGAGTTTGAGAAAGAGAAGAAAGTCGTGTGCGACCATAATCGTCGGGAATTGAACCCGCAACCTCTCGATTGGAAATCGACTGCACATACCACTGCACCATATGGGACACACACACACACACACACACACACACAGATGCATGGGCACAGAGTCAGGATTCACGAAGTAACTAAAAGTTAGTGCCATGCGTGTATTCTTACACTAGGTCGGTTTGCAAACCCAATTTTGTACATTTTGAAATTTTGCAATCGTAATCTTTAGCCAACTCTGTGCATTTGCTAGAAGTTGTTTATTCGAAAACTTCATCGGGTGGATAAAAGGTGTAGCCACTCTCCAGCCTCTGCGAGCCTTTTCAGCCTTTGCACTTCTAGCTCCCCATATATAGAGTCCATCATCGACAATGTCTAGATCTGTCTTCACATCGTCCACGATCATCTTCAGGATCGAAGGAATTGCAATTTCGAAGAAGACGTTGCGGAACACGTATGCAAGCTCCATGAAGCTGGGAACGTAGCGCCGCGGGATGTAGCCGAAATCCGACGCGCCTTTCACCATGCAATCGGTGCAGCCCAGATGGGCTTGAACTCTCCTCACGTACTTGTCTGCTAAGCAGAGGTAGCCGAGCTGAGATGCGGCGCGGCCATACGGCACATTCCAATAGTAGTACGGGTCAGGTGCATTGTTGTTGACATGGCGGACTGGAAGATCGTGCGGAAACATCCAGACGTTGTTGAAGTTCCGTCGCGAGAATAGTGCCGGGTAGCCCAAGTACATATCGTCCGAAATCCACAGATACCCGTCGTAGCCGGGGTCCCTACGCATGGCATCGGATATTGCCCGCTGCTGGAAGAATCCTTCTACAAGCGGCACACGACGTACACCCAGTGTCTTGTTCTCGACATCCGAGTAGTAGACTAACTTCGTAGCAGCCTCACCGTACATCTTAGCTAGCAGTGGTACTTGATGCAAGAATGGGAAGTTGAATATCACTATCAGCAACAAACGCCTGCATGTCTTTGCCTGGTTGCCTTTTTCCTGTGAAAAGGAGGCAGGGTGGCTTTCCACATACAGAGGCTCCTTGCCGTAGTATTGAGTCCAGTTGGTGCAGCACTGTGCATCTTTCAATGTGCATTCAATTGGAATTTTGTGTTTCTCACTGGTCTGGATTGCGCCAGTAACTGTCATCAAAGACGCACCTGGTGGTGGTGAAGCCAAGGCAGTGCTTGGCTCCATGCCATGGCTACTATTCCTGAGTGTAGTAGTGTTGTATGCTGGCTTCCTTGCAGGTACAGTCGAAGGAGCCAACGTCTGGGCTGATGTAGAGTCTGCTTGGTTACTTACCGGCGATGGGTGCAGGGCAACGGAGGGCTTGTCACTCGTTGGATGAGCCCGGTTTTCTCCATGAGTGGACGTGGAACGCAGCGCCAAACGGCTTGCATGCGGTATGGCAGCATGCCTGGAAGGTATGGGATGTAGCAAGCGCTGGGCTTGGCGGCTAGGGGAGTAGTTCAACGGTAAATTTCCGCTGTTTCCAATTCTGGCTATTAGCCAGAAGGCAAACTGTATGACAACGAACACCACTGCGAGACAGACTGCTGATCGACGATGTGACGCGGAGATCCAGCCACGATCCTGACGTTTTTCGCTAGGCATCTTACGAAACAACAAGGACATCAACAGATGTTAGTGGCTTCCACGTGCACCCCGCAAACAGATTTTTAGAACAGATCTGTGGTGGAACCAGGCATGCATCGATTCATTGTTGAGGTTTGCCAGCCGTTGGCAGCACGCAGTCCATACACTGTTATGTGGCCTTGGGTTTACTTGGAAACGTCAGAGCTAGAGGGGCATTCCATGTTGCGAAGCTAATAAACAATCCTAGACAACAAAGCCCCGCCGAGTGGTCTTCTCATCTACCACTGAGTCACTGACATGATCCGTGTGAGCTCAAGATCTACAACAAACACTCGGTCTCTGCTCTCGAGCAAGAACTATTCCGGCCTCACTCTACTAAAGAATACATGCAAGGAACTCAAGGAAAGAGTAGAGGTGCTTGAGCACCACAACCGCAAACTGACTATAGCAATAAAAACTGCTTTTAAATATGGCAGTTTTCTAAAACTTTGAAAGTGAGCCATTCAAAAAATACGAAAATTTTGAAAAGTAAAAAGTAAAAAGGTCGTGCGTAGAACCACTGAAAGTGTGTGAGTGACAGTTTTTTCTTATCCAGAACATTTGCCTTATCTGAACACCGCCGGCGCGCCTGACAGTTGTCTGCCCAGAGGTGGTCGGATAATCGATGTTCAACTGTATTGTGCTCTAGTCCATGGACGTACCAAGGAAACGGTGGAAGGACTGCGTGTCGGTCGATCTTCGATAGGCCTCGACCAAAATACATGTAATAAATATTATATGCTTGCGCATATTTCCGCATATTTTGAGAGACAGTTCATATATGGGATATTGAGCGACAAAGGGAATATTGGAATGAAGCCAGCATATAATTCAAATATTCTGAAGAAAATGAGGACAAAACATTCATATTATGCTGATTTATGGACAAAATGCGTTCAGAAATGCCTTCTATGGATGAATTTGGAATGGTTGAGGCGTTTGCTACATTACCCCATGGATGAACACTATCGCTACGGTTGCTGGGGACACAGTAACACCCCAGCCA